CAGCAGTAGATCCCCAAAAATCTTTATTTTTTTCTGCTATTTAACTATTTTTAAAATGTCTTTAGTCCTAACAGTTGGAACTTTGGGTCAGCAAACAAACAAAAACTGTAGAACAAAGCCATTAGAAGTTGACAGAATCCAGCAGATAGGAAAAAAAAAAAAAATTGCAGGTGACCCCATTGCAAACTGTATTAAAATAAAGTGGTTTTTCATATATAATCAGTCCTTCCAGCAAATTCTCTAGCTAGCTAAGAAGCTAACCTCCGATCATTTTCCAGAAAGAATGAGCAAATTAATGCAACAAAACATCTCTTAATAGCATGTGTCCTTGCAGGGTACATACCTTTTGTGACTTTTATCTTCTATGTTCATAGAAGGACATTATTCCTTCTATGTGAATTCTACAGCAAGCAAGTCACATAAAAAATAGGGGTCTTCTGGTCTTTGAATTTCAGGAAGAATCTCAAGGCACTGCTTTTCATAGATCTCCAAAAACCAAGTGTACAAAGACTTTTGATTTCATTATCAAGCTTTTGGAGCTAGACTGTTGGGGCACAGCTTTCCAAAGGGATTTCGGAGTAATGAACTCCGGCCATGAGTGAGTTGAAGGAGACGAAGACTGAGAAATGATGAGGCGAGGGATCATGTGTAATGGGTTGGTCTCACCTTGGTGCTTCTGGAACCTTCTCCATCTTGGGATTTCTTGATGGGAAAACAGTCAGACCATCATCATCATGTCATTCTGAAACCATAAAGATTAGTTTCCTGCTTATAATAGTCAGGTGTTTCTGCTATTTCCTCTGTCTACCTGCCAACAAAGCTATGTCTGAAACTTTTACAGTTTTTAAGCAATTCCAGCCCTTTAGGGAAGGAGAAAACAGGGCACAGAAAATTGCCTGCTTAGGAGAAGAAAAGAAAGGACAATGACTTTATTACCATTTCATGGACATGCTTTTGGGTACAAGATGAATAGGGATAGAAAAATGTCACAATAATGGGAACAGCATTCCATATGTTGAACTAGGAATTTGATGTCCTCCCTCAGTAAGTTTGATAGAATGCCATACCTTTTTTCTCCTTTATTACCAAATGTTTGCAGGTGCTGAGGCTAGATCTATGAACTTTTGAGTCTCTGGGTGGGGCTGCTTGACAATGCTGAGAAGGAATGTCTTTCTGGGTCATTGTGGATATGAAATAAATTGAAAGCCTTTTTATTTAGGTTTTGCTTGAACAAGAAAGTGTTCCTGGTCTTCTTCCTTCTTGTTTCCAAATATAGGAGACATAATGATTGTGGAAGCAACTTCTGGGGGCTGGAAGCCAGGATTTTTTGTCCTTCCACGAAGTCACTTCTCCCCCACCTACAAATCTTGCTGGGGAACCCTATGGGCTAATACAGCCTTTTCCAACTAAACACCTTCCAGATGTCTGGATATCTTCTCCCAGAATTTTCCACCCAGCATGGCCATTGTTAAGGATTAAGGGATGTAAGGGAGGGTATCCAGGCGGAGGAAAACAGTGTAGAATAAAGCCCAAATACATGAGGGTTATATCTAGGTTTGCCACCAAGAGGTTTCAAAAAAACCACTTTCTTGGGAATGGAATGGATATGGAGAGGTTTTGAAGAAGAAAGAAAAGAGAGCTGAAAATAGAGGATATCATGAAGGAAAACAAATTCCCTTAATATACCTGTGATAACCTGGCATGCTACAGATCTTGGATACACTCATAAAAATGGAAGTAATTTTGAATTCCAACCATGCTCACTAATCTAACACTGCTCTTTTTCAATGGGCACATTGGCATGATCTGTAAAACTTTGTAAGACCTGTCTTCTATCATTAATGAAGCTTCATATTTCATTGTGAAAGAAGTATCCAAGTTATGTTTAAAACAGCAAGTTAATACTTCATTGATTTTAAAACACATGGACAAAAAGAGAGCAAAAGAGCATTTATTTCAAGTATAACAAAACATAAAGAGGTTTGCCTGAGCCAGGAAAACTGTCAGGCTCAGTCCAAGAACAGCAAGGAAACAGTGCATCCAAATTCAGTCCTTTTATTGCTTACACCATATAGACAGAATCTTGCCAGACTAAATCTGTACAATTGCAACTAGTGGATATACTCTGGGAGATTCTAGGGAGTGGCTATCCTGAACCTCTTATGCTTCCCACACTCTCCTTGCAGACTGTGTTGTCTTTTGTCTCCTTTCCCTTCCTGGAATACGCCCCCTCCTTCCTGATAGCCTTGATCTTTACTGCAATCTCCCACATCACTGTCACCTTTATAGATAGATTCCATCACAAAAATAGTAAGAAAGAGACCCAGTGGATCATTTGGGGTAAGAAGGAAGTGAATTTCTCAAAGATAGATTCATTTAGATCCTATCTAGTTTGAGCCTTTAGCGAAATTGATAGCCACCCGAATTCTTATAAAACTGTAATGGACTGTGAGAATAACCATGAAGAACAGGAGGAGGAGCTGAAGCCAAGAAAATACTCAGATAAGAGAAGTCTTACAATAAGTTTGAGTTAGCATCTAGCAATGCAAAACAAGGATGAAAATTGTGTGTTTGTGGCTTTCTATTCCATATATCCACCCCAAATTTTCACCAGGGCACTTTTCATCTCCTTGTTCCTAAAAGTATATATCACTGGGTTCAACAAGGGCGTTAGGGTGGTGTAGAAAATGCTCACCACACCATCCATGGAATCCTTAGAAATTGGCCTCAGATAGTGATATCCCAAAGGGAGATAATACATGACTACTACAATCATATGAGCAGTACAGGTTGAGAAGGCCCGTTGCTGTCCTTCACTGCTGCTAATCCTTGAAATAGCTGAAATGATGTAGATATAAGATGCTAGAATAAGGAGAAAACATATCAGTGCCACAAGGCCAACATCAATGAAGATCATCAACTCATTGAGTTTTGTGTCAGCACAAGCCAACTTCAGCATGGCAGGAATGTCACAGAAGACGTAGTCAATATAGTGTCTCTGTCCGTAAGGCAAATGGAAGGTGAGAAATGTCTGAAATGTGGAGTTGAGGCAGCCTCCAATTATGGTACCCAAGGATAGGGTGAGGCAGGCCTTCCACCTCATGATGTTACCATAATGGAGTGGTTTACAAATGGCCAAGAAGCGGTCATAAGCCATCAGGGTGTAAAGAAAAGATTCTGCACATCCAATGCAATGAAAGAAGAATAGCTGAGACACACATTCTCCAAAAGAGATGACTTTTCCACCAGGAATGAAACCAGCAATAACTTTGGGAACCACCACAGAGGAGAAGGCCATGTCCAGGATGGAGAGATGACAAAGGAACCAGTACATGGGCTTGTGCAGTTGAAGGTCAGTGATCACCACCTGAAAGAAGAATAGCTGAGACACACATTCTCCAAAAGAGATGACTTTTCCACCAGGAATGAAACCAGCAATAACTTTGGGAACCACCACAGAGGAGAAGGCCATGTCCAGGATGGAGAGATGACAAAGGAACCAGTACATGGGCTTGTGCAGTTGAAGGTCAGTGATCACCACCCAGATGATCAAGGCATTTCCAGAAAGAGTCAGGATAAACATGACTGAGAAGAAGAGAAGCAAGGGGAGCTTTAGTTCTTGTGGATATGAAAACCCAGAGAGAATAAACTCATTTGGGGCTGTTTCATTTGGACACTCCATAAATCAGTAAAAAGAAAGAAAGAAAGAAAGAAAGAAAGAAAGAAAGAAAGAAAGAAAGAAAGAAAGAAAGAAAGAAAGAAAG